CTCTTTCTTTCAATAACAATTTTCCTTACATTTCAGGACGCTGAGGCTTCGACATTCCACAGTGCTTACATGAACGACGTTCTCAAGGAAACAGTAACGCCTCTGGACGCATGCAACACCATTGCTGCTTCAGCTGTTATTGCAGCACTCAACTGTCATGCAGCGGCCATCATTCTCGTTACATCTAGCGGAAAGTGGGTGGTTGCAATTAAGCCCGACAAGAGTGACCCGAGAATTGGTTCATTCGTCTCTTATTGTGTTCCTCAGCAGCGTTTCCTACTTCTCTGTATGTCCCCTTGGGAAAAGTCAAAAAGACGTGATTTTAATCCCAAAAATTAGAATTTGGGTGGCCTCCCAGGCTTGCGCGCATAATCTTTGGTAATGAATCCCATCCCTGATATCGCCGTTCGTGGAGCAGTCGTGCCCCCGATTCTTTCAACACGACCCATCAAAAGGGTTAAGGATGCTCCTGACTTCTTACACAGTCAGCCTCCTTCTATGAGACCACTGTTTTACCTCAGAACAGCCTCCGTTCTCGGATGGCTCTGCGGATTCCTGTGGGTATTTGACAAGAGAATCGTAATTCACCGCGCTGGTGGGCGTCGCCCAGGTAGTAGATAGGGACAACGGGTAGTTCAGAACCGAAAATAGTCATGAATGTCTACGATGACGGGATCTACATGTTAACCTGTCGACTGGTGCTCCAATCGACAGGTTAACACGAGTTCAAAAAACGCCGCGCCCATCGCGGCGAGCGGCGAAGTACGATTCTCTTGCCCGTCTCCCGATTCCTCTACCTTGGATCTGGGTGTGGTTCGACACTGTACTACTAGTTGCCCCCTCTGCTCATATCTAATTATGTACCGCTTTAGAACCGCCATTTCTTGCTCTCGCTACAAAACTCCTTTCCCTATTGTGGCGGTGTGCCGTCACGCCGATGTCTGCCGACAGCTGAACATCTGCAGGTGAGTACAGATCTTGCTATTATAAGGTACCCAGTCAGTGCACAACTGTACATCAGTTGCTATCAATGTGATGGAGATCAGTAAGGTTCCTAAAGTTGATTGATTCACAGGTTCTAGCAGCCATCAGAATGATCGGCCTGTTTCAAATACCACCCCAGAAAAGTGAGATTTGCCTCGGTGATTTCATGAATTATATCACGCACCAGTCAGAACGCCCAGCTTACGCCGAGCTCTCCTCCTTCTCATACAGCCGCGGCTTCGCGCAGGCCGGTGCCAGGTGCTACTTCCCAGAGGCACTTTCACAGAAAGGGAATTTGTCATTCACTGAGCTGCTCATGTTGCGCTGTACTGAACGAATCGTAACAGATAGAGCAACCCAGCGAATCCTGAGTCCACGCTTGTTCGCAGAAGAAGTGGTGGTTTTCTGCCTATAACTCATTAACTGTACTCTATAGAAATAGATAAAAAAGACAGTCGAACAATACGCAATATAGTTGCTCAGTAGATGAACGAATTCCATTTCCACATTACCTGCATCGAAACAATTACCGGTGAGCTCTCAACTGTTCAAGTACCATGCAATCCATTCAATCAAGTCGCACAAAGGTTGCAGATGCTAATATTTTTGCCACGTACGTTAGTTGTATTCGGTTGTCCCAAAAGTTCGCGGACACTTTTTGAATCTCGTATCAGATTTTTCCGCAGCCATTTCGAGATCCAGTTATGTGGTCTATGGGAAGTGTGTGAGGTAAGCATTCCACAGCTTCTTCACCGTCCCTCGCAGTCGCTGTTCTCATATGAAAAACGATAATTGAAATTCATCATTTCACTTCGCTATATGATACTCTCCACCGAGCAAGAAGCCACAACGTTGGAGCCATAAGCGGCATTTCCCTTATTTAGATCTTGATGTTAGCTTCCACAGTACGGCTTTGGAATGGCTCAATTGCTTCCGCTTTAGTGACTTCTATCCGGGTGAAAAACTTCGTCCAAGGAGGCCACCTGCCTTGGATTTGGACCTACTGTGTTCCTTGATTAAAAATACTACAAAATCAATTTGGCTATCTAGTCCCTTACACTGTGATGCGTCTTAAGCACAAATGAGAAGGGCCTCGCTCCCTTAGAAAAGTTCTGAAGTTCGGTCAAAATTTTTCTCATGAGTTGACCAGTACTCCAAGGGGAGCACATGTGGGTACTGTCTACAACTTCTCTCCCGCTTCCGCTGTACGGGCTGGTTGAACAGCACTGTAACTGGATATGGAGTGGGTGCCTCTAGGTGAATCACTCCTGGGAGCGCCAGCGGCTAGATCCCCCAGAAAGGGCAGAACCGATCGCGCAATCCTATCAATCCAGTAGGGCGGTGAGGCTGTGTATGTGGTGGGGTACCTTTCTCCTC